AAAGTAATACAGATATATGTATTTAATTTTGATTATTAAATAGTCTTGGTTGCTGAATATATCTGTTGTATTGCTACCATAAAAAAATTACCACAAATTTATAAGTTTAAAACACAAACACGCATTTATTATCTCATAGTTCCTTAGATCAGAAATGTGTGTACCAAATGAGTCAGCTGGAGTCCTCTGCTTAAAGTCTTATAAGGCTGAAATTAGGCGGAATCATTTCTGGAGTCTCTGGAGATGAATCTGCTTCCAAGCTCATTCAGGTTGTTGGCTAAATTCAGTTCCCTGCAGTTGTAGAACTGAGGTCCTCATTTCCTGGCAGGCAATCAGCCAGCTCTCAGACCCTGGAGGCTGACTGCATTCCTTCTCGTGCTTTCCATGTCCCCCCTCCATCAGCAACAATGGACTAAGTGTCTTTCATGCTTTAAACCTCTTCAATTTACCCTTTTGCCACATGTCTCTAACTTTTTCAACCATGTTGGTCCTGCCTCTAGAGTAAGAAAATTCTCTATTTATATGGACTCACGTGAACATACTGGACTCCCTGGGATAATCCATAATAATCTCCCCATTTTAAGGCCTGCAACTTTAAATGCACCTACAAAGTCCCTTTTGCCATGTAAGGCATTTTGAGAGCCCTGCCACACTAAATGATGGACCTTATTCCAGCTGCTGCTCACCATCTTAGCTGTAGAGGGCAGTGTCACTGGCCCTCATGTGGGATCTGAACTGGGGCCCTGCTGCTCAGAGCTGGTCATGTGGGATCTGAACTGGGGCCCTGCTGCTCAGAGCTGGCATCCCAAGCCAGCTCTTAACCAATGTGCCACTTGGCTGGCCCAATGTATACACATTTTAAGAAAGGAAATAACTGTATTAAAATTATGCTGATGGTAACCACTTTGGGCACCTCTTGTAATTGCAGAATTCAATTGTGACTTGTATTCATATTTTGTAATCGGTATATATTAATTAGTATTACAATGTCAATACAGGTTTTCCTTTCTTAAAATGTGTATTTTTGGCCATATATATATATATATATATATATATATATATTATAATATTATATATATAAATATATGACTTGGTTTTTTGTATTGATAATATGGCCAGACTGTACTCATAACTGCTTGAATATTATTTACTATATATGTAGATTTGACCAGATAGCCTAATCTCTTTGTGCCTCAATTTTCTCACTAATCTAATGGAGTACACCATGGTAAACTTAACCTAATGGGGTTGTTGCCAGTTAAAAGAATTAGTAATATATGTAAAGCACTTATAACAGTACCCAGAGCATGGTGCATGCTAAATAAACATTTTGTTGTTAGAGATGGATCTAGTTTTATCAGACTTTGAAAATATTTTTATTTTTTCTGACATTAAAATACATACAAAAATTCAAACAATACAGATTAGCAAAACGGATAGTAAAGATTATCCATAATCTAATGTGACTCACAGATATCTGTTATACATATATGTTCATTTAAAAAGTGATTTTACAATTTTAATGGTCCATTTTGACATAGGTGCATGAAAATATTCTACTTTAAGCCAATCTAAGTTTATATGGCATGATTTAAATAAGATCTGTGACATGCAGTTCTTTCAGTTGTATTCCCCTCTAATTATACAGAAGCCCTATTGATATAATGGTAAGGTGTGGAGGGAGAGAGGGAACATTCTACAGGCCTATGTTTAGGTCTCAATCTTTTAGTGAGCTAGTGCCCCCAAGCTATGACCTTCCAAAGTGCTTTGCAATTTTGTTTTTTTTTCCCTCTTAGGTGAGGCTGGAAGGTTGGAGGGGCTGTAGTTGGGTATGTCTTTTCCAAGTTTTTTAGGTTATGGTAAATAATTTTTCTTGAGCACAGGCCTTTTTAAGAACAGAATCCTTGGGGCCGGCCGAGTGGCTCAGTTGGTAAGAGCGCGAGCTCTGAACAACAGGGCTGCCAGTTCAATTTCCCACATGGGCCAGTAAGCCTTGCCCTCCACAGCTAGGATTGTGAGCAACAGCTGGACCTGGAGCTGGGCTGCCATGAGTGACCAACGACGGCGTACGCTGCAGTGGGCTGCAGTGAGCTAACGTGAGTGGCCGGCAGCCAACATGAGCGACCGTCCAATGGCTGGTGACCAACTGCCTCAGCTAGGAAGAGCGCAATGATAATACCAACTTGGGCCAGTGAAACTGCTTCCTCCACAACTAGACTGAAGAACAAAAGGACAACAACTTGGCTGTTCCTCTTCCCCAATTTCCCAACACTGTTCCCCTCCCCCAATTAGAAAAAATATATATATATATTTTTTTATTTTTATTGGGGAATTGGGGGAAGGGGAACAGACAAGTTGCTATCCTTTTGTCCTTCAGTCTAGTTGTGGAGGACGTTGCTTCACTGGCTCAAGTTGGCACCATCGTTGCGCTCTTCCCAGGTGAGGCAGATCAGTCGCCGGCCTCTGGACGGCTGCTCACTGTGGCTGCTGGCTGCTCACGCTGGCTGCTGGCTACACACGGTAGCCCATGGCAACCCACTGCAGCAGGGGCTACAGCCTATGCCGTCACCAGCGACCCATGGCAGCCCAGCTCCAGGTTGAGCTGTCGTTCAGCATCTTAGCTGTAGAGGGCAGTGTCACTGGCCCTCATATGTGGGATCCGAACCGGGGCCCTCCGGCGTCCCAAGCCAGCTCTCAACCAAGGCGCCACTTGGCCGGCCAGAAAAAAAAATCTTAAAAAAAAAACCAGAAGAGAATCCTCTGGGCATATTACAAAATGTCTATACCACCACCTCTCCTGGAAGCAAGAGGACTTATTTTTGGATCTTTACTATAAGAACCTGGTAGGGCTCCTTGAGGTAAAACTCACAAAATTGTAGGAGCCCCTATAAGACTGGGATTTACTGGAGTTTTAACTCTCAAACTTGTTCACATTGAGCATTCAGCAATTCACTAATTACAGTTTAGGTTTTCCTATCTAGATATTGGTTCCTGTGGAGGTTTCTGATCTGATAAGTTGTGAATGTTTGTATCTGCCTGCCTGTTCCCCTCATTTTGAGAGGCAGTAGTATGCCCTCTGCCCTCAATTTTCTGACGGATATAAGATTTGTTTATTTTCAGTTCAGTTCTTTTTGTGTGTGTGTGAGAGTGGGAGTGATGACTTCCAAGTCCTTTATACACCAGACTGGATAGTAGAAATCTCTGGTGTGATTTTTAACAGAAAAAAAAATCAAGTAGGCCTTGTGAATTTCTCCACCAATGCTCAAAAGTCAGGAAACAAGGTCAGAGAAGGAGAATGATAGGGAAAGAAGGGTGATAACTAAAGGAACTAGGCTGAAGTGAAAAGATGTCCCATTGATTCAGATAGACCAGGTTTAAAACATATATGCTTCATTTATTCACATTGTGATTTTAAATATTTCACTTTCTCATCTATATAAATAGTAATATTTATCTTGTGGGCATTTTTGAGAATTAAACAAGATAAGACATATAAAACATCTGGTATATAAGAGAGATAACCAGTAAATAATAATTAGGAATTTTTTCACATAGAAATGACCAGTACTAAGATGGAAGGATTGGATAAATGGGTTGGTTAAGGGACTAGAATGAGTGAGAAGAAAACATGCAAGTACATGTTTGCAGTCAGAGAGAGAGAAAAAGAATTTCCAAGTTAAGATCTCTTAAGCTTGGAACATTGTGGTGAGTTTTTCAATGAAACAAACAAAATCTTCTCCAGTTTACCCATGGGCAGCAGCATCTAAACCTTAATTTAAAAACCAAGAAGAAGACAACTGCACTTCGTTTCATCAAAATGTCATATGTCTTAAAAATAATGCTAGTGTTTATTACTAAACATTTCCTAGAAATTTGACAGGGATTTTCAAATAATTTTCTAGTCCTCTGTAAAAACAGCCATTTAGACTTTGGTTGACTTACTTAACCCACTGCCCAGTAAAATACTTTAAAGATAGGTAAAACTCAAAGGATGTTTATTGAATTGACAAGACCCTTTCTAGGCAATGGTAACTTTATATATAAATGGACATAACATTTTTTTGCCTGCTTGAGACTAGAGGCTCAGCCAGTGATTTCCTGAGAACCTTCCTAGCTCTTGAATCTGAGCTTCTAGCATTCTGATTTACGTTTCTTTGGCTTTCTTCTCTATTTTTAGTTCCACTGGTTTTTGACTCCAGGAAGTGCCACTCCAACATATAATAATAGGGTCTGACCTTTATCCTTCCTTAGGTCTCTGAAGCCAACCTAAACTATTTCAAACATACAAGGAAGGAGAAGATAATAATAAAACTATATTTTTAAAAAGACTGACTCATGATACCAAAAACAGAAGCAACTAAAGGAAAAAAAATTGGATTTCATCAAAATTAAGAGCATTTGTGCATCAAAGGACACTATTAAGAAGGAAAAAAGATAACCTACTGAACGTGAGAAAAATATTTGCAACTTATATATCTGATAAGGGATTAATATCCAGCATATATGAAAACTATAACTCAACAGCAAAAAATAATAATGATTAAAAACTAAGAACCCAATTAAAAAATGAACAAAAGACTTAAATAGACATTTCTCTAAAGAAAATATTGAAATGTCCAATAACCACATGAAATGATGATGTACATCATTAATCATTAGGGAAAAGCAAATCAAAACTATAATGAAATACCACTTCATGCCCACTAAGTTGGTTATAATAATAACTTCAGGAAAATAACAGAACAGAAAATAACAAGTGTGGGGGGAAATGTGGAAATTGGAACGCTTTTGCATTGCTGGTGGGAACATAAAATATTGCATCCACTGTGGAAAACAGTTTGGCCAGTTTCTCAAAAGGTGAAACAAAGAACTACCATACAAGTATGACCAAGGAATTCTAGGTATATGTCTAAAACAATTGAAAGCAGGGACTCAAACAGATATCTGTATATCAATGTTGATAGCAACATTATTTACAATAGCCAATAGGTAGAAACAACCCAAGTGTCCATCAACAGATTAATGGATAAACAAAATGTGGCATATACCTACAATGGAATATTATTCAGCCATAACAGTTGATTGACCTTTCTATGGACCTCCTGGTAGATGCCTATCACCTTCTTCCACTCCATCTGGATAAAAAGAATCGCAGTAACAGTTTACAAAGTATATTCACATTTACTGTAGGAGGCCTCTAGTTCAGAATAAGTACACCCAGAGCTTTCCTTAGGTGAGTACAAATAGCAAAGTATATAAGCAAGTCAAAGCTGTTGTGCTGAGAACCAGTTTGGAAACCATGGCTTAGCATTTCTCAACTAACTAAATCTTGTGGCTTTATCTAATTGCATTTATTCAACAAATACATCTCTACTATCTATAGTGATGTGCATGTACATATGCCTACACATTGAATACTTTTCCTGAAATGACATCCAACTCCACAATCCAAGGCAGGTTGGAAGCCAGATAGAATGGAATGATGTGTAAGAAGGAAGTTACTACAAAGTTTCAACTGGTTATGGTGAAGGAAGTCGCATTGTCCAGGATTAGATAGATCCAAAATTATTATGTTTCTTTCTAAAAGAGATAGTTGGCACAGGAACAGAGAAGGGAAAAAGAGTTGGCTTTTTGGTTTGTATATTCTGGATGATTTTAAGTGTCACTCACGGCAGAAAACATATTCAGTGTAAGAGGTCCAGATCTTGTCATCTGTCTGGTCATGGGTAATAGTGCAGGTGCCAGTGGAGTTGCATGCTACCATGTAAAAGCCAGCATCAGCTAGTTTGTCAAAGGCTTGTTCCAGAAAAGTGAATTTGAGGTAATATCGAGAAGTGTACCGCTCAGGAGGACGGTCAGGGTCTCTGCTCTCATTTAAAGTATCTCCAAATACTTCTTTGGCCAATGAGATCTTACCACACACCATGATTCGGGCCACACGGCGGAATTTGGCATCTGTGAGGCTATCCCTACTCAGAGTATAGGAGCCTCGATAGCCAATAGTGATGAAACCTGCCTTCTTGAGGTCAGAACCACTGCCTGCTGTCAGAGTTGGGGGATTATCAGGGCCACTAACTTGGATGTTATTACTTGAAGAGAAATTACATATGGTGTCAGTGTTGGTGGACAGCTCTTCTAGATCACTTTGGCATAGATCATTCCCAACTGAGTTGAGCTTGTTGATTTTAGGAGCCAACATCTTCACTAGTTCTGGTAACTTGAAGTATTCTGCTTCTCTCTGGAGCCGACCACACTCTGGAAAGTGGTCTGGAAGCACTAGTTTCTGGTCTCTCATGTAGTCTAGCACATAGCGAAAGAGGAAACCATCTCGGTCTACAAAGAATCTCCCTTTGTTGTCCTGGATTAAGGAGCAAGGATTGTTTTTACTGAACATTTCCCAGAGAAGGGAGCCAGGAACACTGACCAAAGTAGGATAGCGAGTGATGTATACCTGACCACCTACATTGAGTTCAATAATCTCGGGAAAATGATGGAAATCCTCACTTGGTTTAGTACAACTTGGTTTCTCTGAGGTGGCCATAGTGATCTGCAGAAGCAAAAGACATTGTTTCTAAGTAAAGGTTTACAGTATGGGGATTCTGTTTATAAACATTAATTTTTTGTGCTCTTTCATACTATATACCAAGAAAATCAAGCAAACCATAACCTTTTGCAAATTAACTACTTTTAACTTGAGACTGGCAGCATAGAAAAATTGCACGATTTGGTTTTGCAATGATTTTTTAATGTCCTTCTGAATGTTGGATATATTTCACAATCCTCAATTCATAGCATGTTATCACAGTCCATGCAGGGCCCCCCTTTTTGTGGTAGTGTTTATTTATTTTGGTTATTCTATTTTACTCTCGCCATCCATTCCCATTCCTGTCCCTGTTCCCACCATAGCTAACCATTCTGATAAGTTTAGTGTGTATCTTTCTGTGTATACATATTCTTGAAAAAATGGGTTTCATTGTTTTAAATAGATGTATATGTTATTGTATTATATATTTCAGTCTTCATTTATTTATTTTTTCACTCTCAGCACTATGTTACTCAAATTGCTTCATGTTGCTATGTGTATATCGAATCCCCTGCTTCTAACTGTGGCATAATTTGTGGTGTGCATCCACCATGTTTTACTATCTACTCTCACAGTGACTAACACCCAGATTGCCTCTAACTCCCTGCTCCTATGTGTACTCCTGTACGTGTTTCCTATGGACCTATGAGAGAACATCTTTATGCTATATATCTAGCAGTGGTATTTCTGAGTCCCACTGCATGTATATACCTAATTTGACTAAGTAGTGACATATTGCTCTAAAATGTCCCTTGTGTACATTTGTACTTAATCCTCTTAATTCCATACCACTTGACATTATCCGGATTTCTAAATTTTTGCCACTCTCCTGGGTGTAAAGTGATACCTCATTGTAGTATTAGAAAATTAGTTATAAAATAAAGAATACAGGCAACCACTGTGAGACGATAACTTAGTACCTTCTCACTGTCCACTCATTCCTTATCTTTTACAACTCCTACCATACCATTTTACTAGAACCACTGTTTCCAACAGAAAATATGGTGTGCTCAGCACCTTTCTTTATCCCCCATTCTCCTTTATCTCTACAGTATTCAACCTTATTGTCTATATTCTCCTTTGTAAAACTCTTCCCTCCCTCAGACATGGTAAACCTAGACATTCCCCAGTCTCTTTCTACCTCACAGTCCATTCCAATTTTCTCTCTGTCACTGGCTTCTCTTGCTTCTTAAACCATCCTAAACTGCGACCGTGGAAACCTCAGAACTGTTTTTTGTTCTCTCATCTCTCCCTCAAAGAACTCATCCTCTTAAGCTTTTCGAACTCTTACATTTACATATATGATTCCCAAATCCCAACCTCTCATCTAAACTCCAGTTTCATACTGGAAACTACTTGCTAAATGCTGCAACACCACCTTGAAATCAGCATGTTCAAAACTATGCTCATGTATATGAAAGTATTTTGTAAAAGCTAAGTTATTATAATAATTTTTGTCTTTATTTTTCCAGCCTAAAAAGGTCACATTTTATGACTTTTTTGTGTGTGTCCATGGTCTCACAATTTTCTCAGTCATTCAAACTGGAGATTTAGAAACTTCAGGGTCATCTTATTGACCTATTCATCTTTCTCATGCATATTCCTCAGTAACTTAGAAATTATTACTTAATGATATCTCCTGCATATACAACCACTCCCATGTCCTATTCTTCACTCTGCTCTAATTGATCTGAAAATCCAAATTGATCTGTCCATCTCTAGTTGAGATCCATCCATATCTGCCCTTCACCCCACCCCCACCTCCCAAAATGTCCTACATACTATTACCAGATTGGTTGTTATCACATCACCTTCTTCTCTGTTTAAAAACTTTCAGTGACTCCACTTTGCCTAAGGATCAAATCAAAAGCCCTTACCCTGGAACTCAAAGCTATCCATAAGCTGGTTCTTTTCTCTCTTTAATGATAAGAATACCTAACTTTACATAGGACTTACTATATGTCAGGCATTGTCCTTAGCCAATGAAGTAGGTACAATTATTATCCTCATTTTGCCAATGAGAAAACTGGTAAATAACTTGCCCAACATAAAACTAATGTGTCTGAGGTGGTATTTATACTCAGACAGGAGTACTCCAGTGTCCACATTCTTAAGTACTCTTTTGATTTTATCTGATAAGACTTCTTTACATACACAAAAATGGTGTAGTGATTATTGCCTGGCCATTATATGTTCATTTTTGATGCCTTTGCCCATACCTTTTCCCCTTCTGAAAAGCATTATCCCACTTCCTTGACTTTAAGGACCAATTCAAGTCCCAACTAAGATTAACCTTTTCCTCATATTTCTATATTAAACTTGAAATTTTTTACTCATTTGGTTTCCTATTCTTTTACATAATATAATAACAGTAGCAGTAGTAACATAAATAATAATAGCTAACATGAAACACTATATGCCAGTCTTTTCCTGATGACTCAATTAATATTTCTAGCAATCCAATAAGGTAAATACTACTGCAATCCCTATTTCTCAGAGGAATAAGCAGATGCACTGTTTATTATAATTCTTCATTCGGATTACTGTTTTTAGTCTCCACTCACTAATCTACCCTGCACACTACAAGTAGAATTATCTTTCACAAACGCAAAACTAATTATGACTTTCCTTGCATAAACACTGTCAAAGTTTCTCAAAATCTAGAGAATGAAGTTCAAACATATTAAACACAGTATATGAAAAGTTCCACACTGGTCTTTGCCTTGTTCTTTGGCTTTGATTTCAACTATCTTTCCCTTTCATACCCCTAAAATGACTCTAAACTTTAGCCACACTGAATTTAAACCCAGTTCACAAGACTCATCCATTTTTTCATGTTGACATGCCTTAACCTTATGATTCCTTCTGCCTGAAATGGCCTCTTTTGCTCTACCTACCCCAACGTTCCTGTCCCTTTTTGAGAAATAATATAGTGGCTTTGGGAAGGCCTGATTTTGAATTCCACCTCTGCCATTACTAGCTGGGTAACCTTGGGCATGCTACTTATTCTCTCTGAGCCTCAGGTTTCTTATCCAGAAAATGGATATAACAAAATATTCATAAAATGAGGAAACTGTATATAATATGCATATAATATATATATTATATAAAGTACTTAACACAATATCTGTCCTATAGTAAGTGCTTAATGGATGGTTGGTTACATTGGCTCCCTTAGCTTATCTTGGAACAAGCAGTGAAAGATTGCTATCCACCAGTTGATTATGGCATTAGTCTTATAGTGCTAAAATGGGACATCCTCTCTAACTGTCCACCCCATCCCTTCATATTCTGTATTATTGCTTCAGATTAGAAATATCTCTTAGAGAACTTATTACAGTACAACATAATTATGTATATGTTTGTCTGTTCCAAATAACCTCTAAGATACATGGTAATCTTGATTTAAAAATCTCTGGATCCCCAGCACTGTGAGCCTGGCAAGTATTAAGCCTATAGTAAGTAATTATTGAGTGATGAATAAACTACCAACAAACAAATGTGATATCAGTCTCGTTACTTTCATAATCCCACAGTACATAAGTAGAAATAAATTTCTAAAAATTAATTTTGAATACATGTGTGAGTATATGAACAAGAAATATACATACACTAGATTTGCAGATTTCTGTTGTATATTTCCCAAAAAAACATCAATGAAAGTCTAAGATAGTTGTTTCCCATTGTACAAAAAGATAATTTTATAACACAATTAAGCAGTTGAAAAATAGTAGTGTAAAGCTGATACCTTCTTATTTCAGGTTTTTCTTTCTTGAGGCTTTAGAGTTACTTCTGTTCAAGTCAACAGATGATTTAAAATCCTGAGTCAGAGACACATTCACCTTGAGGAACCAAAGTGGGTAGTCTATTTTGCCTCTCACATTAGAACAGAATTTTTAGCTAAGTCCTGAGGGCAGAACTGGTATTTCTGTAGGAATAAGTCAGAAGGGGAAAAGTTAGGACTAGAACTGTAGGGGATGCTCAACTGCCACCCCTCTGCTGCACAACCACAACCATATTTTAAAACAGAAATAGAAATTTTACTCTGAAAGTTATTTGTAAGGCAACTCCTAATAAATAGGAATCTCAAGTTATTTTAAAGAAAGAAAAATGGACATAATTCCCCCCAATAATGGAAAAATTTCCAATTCAAAAGACCCCCTGGTATATTATCATAACATGAAGTCAAGAAGGAAATATTTCCCAAACAGGAAGATTTTTATCTGTTTTGCATGTATTTGTAATGTAAAAATCTTTTTTGCACATAAAAATCTTTAGTTATGCCCCTTTTCCCCTTCCCCACCCCAGTGTTTCCTATTCAGCTGGCTTTTTGCCCAAGAGGAAGTAAAAAAAAAGGTTCATTCAATCTAACCATTCCTCAGTTTTTTAAATGCTTGTTTGGGATATAGTCCTACAATGTCTCATTTATTTTTCTCTTCTGCACATAAACCTTGGGCTGATAAGGTTTTGTGGTTAGCTGCCCTCAGTAAATCAAAGAAATAAAGGTCGCTGCAAGGAGGATGTTAAAGGAGACCACGTGAAATACAAATAGTTTAAATCAGAGGATGAAATGTTCAACCCAGCTGTATGCTGCAAACTTGAAGGGCTGAGTTTTATATTTCAGTGTTTCAAAGGTACTGAAGAAAGTAGCTAGTGCATCACTTGCTTTCTGTAGTCAAAGAATTCTACAACAAAGATCAAATGTTTTTAATAGAAAAAGTCAGATATATCAGAACTCCTGATTTCTACCTGAAAATGTGAAGAAAGTATTTTCTAAGGAAATCAGACAGTTTATAAATGGCCAATTTCCAATTTTATTAAACCTGAAATATTTGTGTCCTAATGTCTCCTCCCTTCTCTCTCCCTCTTCCTACGTGTCTCACTCTCTCCTCTTTTGACCAGTCTGTCTTAAAAGTATACTCACTTATAAGAATGAACACATCAATTTAAATTTGAAATGTGGTTCCCACCTTTTATGTTATTCCAGTTCAAAGAGATCCAAGAAAGCAAAGTAGGTAACCGCTGAACAGGAAGTGTAAGCAAAAGGAAAAAAACCCAACATTAAGAATTAAGAAATAGCTTTCTTTTCTACTTGAAGGAGAAAATCCTCAGCAGCATTCCCACACCCTACAAATAACTTGGTTCTATAGCTTTTTGTCTGCTTACAAAACGAAATGGTAGTACACAGATGCTTTATTTATTCAAAATAAAATTAAAAAAATAACCAAATGGTGAAAGGCAATCCAAATTTTCAGCATTCCCTTTCAGGAAGACTTGCCTGCTTTTGGATTTCTAGGTTGATTGCCCCCATCAGCAGGTTCCACATGCTGTCTTCTCAATACACAGAAAAAACACAGAGACATGCGCAACCCCAGCTCAAATGCAGAAGCTCCTGAATTCCAGAAGCAGTGGACTGGAAAGGAAAGGTAAGGGGATCAAGTGAGTAGTTACCTTGAATCTCCAGCCACTCGAATACCGCCAAGCACAGCCTAAGCCTCTCTCCTCCTCGCTACAGGCTAAGCTCAGCTTGTGAACTGCCTTCCTGCTCTCCTCCCTCTCCTTTGCTGTGCTTTGCTGGTTGGTCTGGGCTTTCCCTTTTAATGCAAGGAAGCCTGTAGATCCTCCTCCCCTGCTATGACTTACTTGGCTTCCTGCCCAGCCAGCCTCCCAGATGGAAATGGCAAGCTCTCCACCCTGCAGTTTGAGGAGGAGCAAAGTCGAGAAAGGTGGTGGTGATGTTAAAAAAAGAGTATTATTTGGGGGTAAGAGAAAAATTTTTCTTATCTTTTCTTGGTACAAACACAACAAATAAATATCTAGCAGCTGCAAATTAATAAAATGTATTTTTTTAACTAAAGAATTGATTGAATGCTTAACATGGATGCATCGGATCTGTTTACTTGAATAACTTTATTGGGATAAATACTCGTATGACCTCCATAGTTCAAATAAATCATTTACTAAGCACTTCTCATGTTTCAATATACTGTGCTAAATGCTGACGTTAAAGAAATAAATCAGTCACTGGAGCATCACAGTTTATTGCAGGAGAAAGATTTGTGAACAAATAAATTCAGTATAAGTTAGTAGGTGTTATGGAAGAGGTATGCACACATTGCTGTAAGAACACAAAGGACATACCCCTAGGCTGTACAGGGGTTTCCAAAGACTTCTTGAGACTTCTGAACTCAAACTTTTATCAGATGAATAAGAAGTAGCTGGAAAAAGATATGTAAGAAAAAAGCATTCCAGGCAGAAAGAACTGTGTTAGCAAAGTTAAATAGGTATGAAAGAGTATGCAATTATTAGGACCATAATTTTTATTTATTTGTTTGTTTGTTTATTTATTTATAAGACTTAAAATGCTTTAATTCCAATTACCCATTTTTGGTTCATATATTATTTTTTTAAATTTTTAATAAATTTATCAGGCTGACATGGATTGGTTAAGTTATATAGGTTTCAAGTATACATTTCTGTAATACATCATCTATATATTGCATTGTGTGTTCCACCCAGAGTCTGCTCTCCTTCCATCACCATATATTCGATCCCATTTTCCCTCTTCCACCATCCCCCTTCCCCTCCCCACTTACCCTCTGATAACCACTAAACTGTTGTCTGTGTTTACTGAGTTTTTGTTTGTTTGTCTTGTTCTTTTGTTGCTTTCAGTTTTATATCCCACAAATGAGTGAAGTCATATGGTTCTCAAATTTTTCTGTCTGACTTATTTTGCTTAGCATGGTAATCTCAAGATCCATCTATGTTTTTGCAAATGGCAGTATTACATCTTTTCTTAAGGCTGAGTAGTATTCCATAGTGTATATGTTCTACATCTTCTTTATCCAATTATTTATCGAAGGACACTGGTTGTTTCCATGTCTTGGCCACTGTGAATAATGTTTCAATGAACAGAGGGATACATATATCTTTACAAATAAATGTTTTCAGATTTTTTGGGGGTAGATACCAAGAAGAAGGATTGCTGGGTTGTATGGTAATTCTGTCCTTAACTTTTCTGAGGAAGCTCCATACTGTTTTCCATAGGGGCTGTACCAATTTAGAGTCCCACCAACAGTGTGTGATGGTTCCTTTTTGTCCACAACCTCTCCAACACTTGTTATTACTTGCCTTATTGATAATAGCCATTCTAACAGGTGTGAGGCGGTAGCTTATTGTGGATTTGATTTGCATTTCCCTAATAGCTAGTAGAGCTGAGCATTTTTTCAGATGAAAACAATGTTGGCCCTTTTTATGTATTCTTGTGAGAAGTGTCTGTTCAGGTCCTCTTACCATTTTTTAATTGGATTTTTTTTCTTTTGAGTTGCAGGAGTTCTTTATATATTTTGGATATTAGCCTCTTTTTGGAGGTGTTTTTTGCAAATATCTTCTCCCATTCGATTGGTTGCCTCTTTGTTTTGTTGATGGTTTCTTTGGCTGTGCAGAAGCTTTATAGTTTGATATAGATGCATTCATTTATTTTTGTTTTTACTTCTCTTGCCTTTGAGATCAAATTCATAAAATCCTCTTTGAACCCAAGGTCCATAAGTTCAGTACCTATGCTTTCTTCTATGCAATTCATTGTTTCATGTCTTATGTTTAGGTCTTTGATCCATTTTTAGTTAATATTGGTATATGGTGACAGATAGCAGACTAGTTTCATTCTTTTGCATGTGGCTTTCCAATTTCCCCATGATCATTTATGAAAAAGCTTTCTTCTCTCCATTGTATGTTTTTGCCTCATTTGTCAAAAATTATCTGCCCAGATATGTATATGTGGGTTTATTTCTGGGTTCTCAATTCTATTCCATTGTTCTGTGTGTCTGTTTTTCTGCCAATACCATGCTGTTTGATTATTGTCACTGTAGTATAAATTGAAGTTAGGAAGTGTGATACCTCCAGCCTTCTTCTTTTTCTTAAGATTGCTTTGGCTATTTGGAGTCTTTTGTGATTCCATACAAATTGGATGATTGTTTGTTCTGTTTCTTGAAAAAATGCCATTGGGATTTTGATGGGAATTGCATTAAATCTGTGTATTGCTTTGGGTAATATAGTCATGTTAGCTATGTTGATTCTTCCAATCCATGAACATGGAATATCTTTCCATTTATTTGTGTCTTTTTCCATTTCTTTCAATAATGTCTTATGGTTTTCAGTGTATAGGACCTTCACATCCTTTGTTAAGTTTATTCCTAGGTATTTTATTCTTTTAGTTGCAATTGCAAAAGGAATTTTTTATTTCATTTTTTTTGAAATTTCATTGTTAGTATATAGGAACACAGTGGATTTTTGTACATTGATTTTGTATTCTGCAACTTTACTATATAGGTTTATTGTTTCTAATAGTTTTTTTGTAGAATCTTTAGGGTTTTGTATGTAAAGAATCATGTCATCTGCAATAAGTGACAATGTAACTTCTTCATTTCCAATTTGGATGCTTTTTATTTCTTTCTCTTGCCTGACTGCTCTGGGTAGGACTTCCAGAGCTATGTTGAATAACAGTGGTGGGAAGGGGCATCCCTGTCTTATTCCTGATCATAGAGGAAAAGCTTTCAGTTTTTCACCATTAATTATGATATTAGCTGAGGGTTTTTCATATATGGCCTATATTATGTTGAGGTACTTTTCTTCTATACCCGTTTTATTAAGTGTTTTAACCATCAATGGATGTTGTATCTTGTCAAAAGCTTTTTTCTGAATCTATTGATATATTTATCTTTTATTTTGTTTATATGGTGTATCATATTGATCAATTTGCATATGTTGAACCATCCTTGTGCTGCTGGAATGCAACGCACTTGATTGTGATGCATGATATTTTTAATGTATTGCTGCATTCAATTTGCTAGTAATTTTGTTTAGTATTTTTGCACCTGCATTCATCAGAAATATTGGCTTATAGGTTTTCTTTTTATAGGGCCACATTTTTTTTAAATGTTAGAATAATGAGAGGCAAGCTTTTACAATCCCAAAATCTAAACTAATTTTCTTCAGATTATCTAACACGAGTAGCTCTCACTTAATGATTTCATTTCATATGCAATTTGTCTCTTTTAACTCAAGTTGAATCACTGAATTAAAATGTGGATTTTCCAAAAAGGAAATGTGAATGTTGCCATGGACCTGTCTCTCTGAACCTTGTACTTCTTCTCCCCCAGTCAAACAGCCAAACAGGTTCCCAAAAAATAATGTTAGAAATGGTACAGTTTGGGGTGAGGTTTTCTTTGTCTATAAGGAACAGAAAGCCAGACTCAACAATAAGGGGTATGTATTTTCTCACACACTGAATCTTTAGCTAGGCCAACTACACTATTAGTTATTTCAGTAACTAAATGACTTCATTAAGGACACCTTCCGTTATTTTGTTCAACTCTCTTTGGAATGTAAGCAACATCCTTTTTAGTCACCAAATGGCTTTAGCAGCTCCAAATATTGTAATGTTATACAATACTCTCTAAAAATCCAGAAGTGAAGAAAAGGGCTTTTCCTTCCAAAACAGTTTTCCTCACTCTCCATTTTAGAAGTATTTAAATAATTACAAAAAAGGAGGATGTGTGCAGTATTATCAAACAGTACTTATAAACTAAATCATTTGGCCTCTAATTATAAGACCTCATTACCTATAGCCTTTTAAATATTTCTTTTTAGGGTAGGAAAATCCTTCCCCAAAGCATTACTTGTTCCTCCAGTAGCTGTTCTTACAAATCACAATGGCCCTGATTGGGTCATATGCCCACCCCTAAACCAATCATTGGCAAAGGGATTTAGATAACCATCATAGGCTTAAATCAATCTTAATTCACACCCTAGGCTAGGAAGAAACTCAGCTTTATTTAAAGCACATTACTGCCAAAATCTAAAACAAAACAAAACTTGGATTCTGTTAGCAAGTCAGAAACTAGATAGTGGCTGCTGGATAGTCAAACAGTAGAATTCACCATAAGTTGTTTTTTGTTGATATTAGGCCAAGGGACCCAAATCCTGACCTGGCACAAACACCCTGCTCCCCTTTATTGGAATCTGAACAGTTAGATTTAGGAACATAAAATCAAAATTCCCCAACTGTATGATTTCTCCAAGGCTAACCTTAGTTTAAATTTTTTTCATTGTGGTGAACTATATACCAGGTGCCAAAAAAAATGCATATAAGCGGACACTTTGGTCAACATTGGTAATCAGAAGTGTCTGGACGCTGATGGTAACCACTTTGAGCACGTCTTGTAATTGCAGAAGTTAAACGTGACTTGTATTCATCTTTTGTTATTGGTATATATTGAGTATTACAATGTTAATAGTTTTTTCGTTTCTTAATATCTCCATAAAAAATTAAATATTGCCATTTGTAATAACATGGATGGATTTGCATGCATTATGCTAAGTGAAGTAAGTCAGACAGAGAAAAACAAATACCATATGACCTCAGTTATACGTGTAATTTAAAACAAATCAAGATTATAGGTAAAGAGAATAGATTGGTGGTTACCAGAGGCAGGGGGTGTAGGGGTGGACAAAATGGGTGAAGGAAGTCAAAAGGTACAAATTTATAAAATACATAAGTC